AGCGGCGCCGCGCAGCCCGGCGCGGGGGGACCGGGGGGACCGGGGGGTGGAAAGCCGGGCGTGAGCCGGCGGGGTGCGCTCGCAGCCCAGAAGGCCAACCGTGTCCTGGGCTGCATCGAAAGCAGCGTGGCCAGCAGGTCGAGGGAGGGGATTCTGCCCCTCTGCTCCGCTCCGGTGAGGCCCCAGCTGGAGTGCTGCGTCCAGCTCTGGGGTCCTCAGCACAGGGAAGACATGGACCTGTTGGGGTGGGTCCAGAGGAGGGCCACAAAAATGATCAGAGGGATGGAGCACCTCTGCTGTGAGGAAAGGCTGAGAGAGCTGGGGTTGTTCAGCCTGGAGAAGAGAAGGCTGCAGGGAGACGTGATTGCAGCCTTTCAGTACTTAAAGGGCGCCTACAAGAACGATGGGGACATTTTTTAGCACGGCCTGCTGCGAGAGGACAACGGGCAATGGTTTTAAACTAGAGGAGAGTAGATTTAGACTAGATATAAGGAAAAAAATTTTCACGATGAGGGTGGTGAAACACGGGAACAGGTTGCCCAGAGAGGTGGCAGATGCCCCATCCCTGGAAACATTCAAGGCCAGGCTGGATGGGGCTCTGAGCAACCTGATCTGGTTGAAGATGTCCCTGCCCGTTGCAGAGGGGTTGGACTAGATGGCCTTTAAAGGTCCCTGCCAACCCAAAGCATTCTATAATTCTGTGATTCTATGATTCATCGGTGACATGTAAACTATAAATATGCCAGGGAGGTAGAGAAGCAGTGAAAGACATGCCCTACCTAGTCACGATTACTGGGCGTTCTTTCATTATGGCCCAGGTAAGCCTCCTTCTTCCCAGATCTGGTATTAGCAAGGCCCTGTCTCTGCAGTTCACACCTTGATTTTGCTCAGGTAATGCAAAGGCCAGGGCTCGCTCTGTACACGTAGACCCTATTTTTAGAGGGCAGAGCAAAGCAGTATAAATAAGGAACTGAGTGTGGCCTAAACTGGGGGGCACTAACTGGTAGACCAGAGGCCAAACCCAGCCCACAAAATGAGCCTGTCCAACCTGCTACGTTTAGCCTCAAAAGACAAAAATCAGCAGACAGAGCGCAACAGCTGAACGGTCTCCGTTGCACCAAGACAAATTCAAGGATTTTGGTCCATCAGATGCAATCCTATCTGGTTTGTAAGGAGGTGGCCCAAAACAGACATCGGGTTTCCAGTGCTGAAAGGTTTGGTCCATCCAGGTCTAGAGAGATCACCGACATGCCACCGTAATGGATGCCGCAAGAGGTGGCAGGGTAGGTGGTACAGCATTTCTGCTTTGCAGAGCATGCGTTTATGTAAGTACCTCAAATGTGTATTTTGCAAACAAAGGTGTACTTTGCATTGTGCCAGAAATTCAGCCTGTAAAGCTTTAAAAAAGAACAAGAAAAGTTTACAGGTATCTACAAAGACGAACGTAAGCATGTGATAAGAATACTTTTGACTTTTTATTTTAGTAGAGTATCATTTTCATGCAAAATATTACAGTGATATCTGTGTTCCTTGCAGTATTTCTCATTAAAAGTGAGAGACTCGGACAAAGATGATATACCTTCCTACAGCAAAATGCAGAGGCAGGTTTGAATTCTTGTAGGCCATTTACAGTGAGGGATTAAGAATGAAGATATAAATTTCTGCCAATGTTGTTTATCACGACTAACTTGAATTACATATTAAGTAATTGCTATACAGCTTTGGAATTATTTTGAGTAATATGAAGGGAAGTTTCTGCTCTATCTAGATTTTTAACTATTTTTATTAGGAGATGTGAATGTGTGGCAAATGATTTTGTTTACACGTCATTTTAGAGAACATTTCTTCTTAGTATAATTAGTTCAAAGCTTGATCCATTCATATAAGAGGTCATGGGATCAAGGCCTAATCAGGTAAGAAACTAATACGGAAGGCTTATTTCTGAAAATTAAAAACTGAATAAAAAGACATAGGAATATTAAATCATTGTTAATGTCTTTTTGAATCAAAAACTACCAAAACCCGTTTTCTTAATCAGTGCTTGTATAGCTGTGCTAGAGCAATGATTTTCTTGGGGCAGCAGGACATTGCTTTGACGTTCTGCTCATTTATAAAACTGATAAATTTAGCCAAAGAAGACTGAAGGGGGCATGGCAGCAATCTTCACACCCCAAAAGGCGGCTGCAAAGGGAAAGAAATAATCTCTTTCCACCAGGGCTAAAGGCAGAGAGGATAAGAACCGCACTGATACGGCACCACCAGACTAAGCCATCCTAACGTCTCCGTGGCACACGCCTGTGTCGTACCTGCAGGCTGCGCGTAGCTGAGGCAGCCGTTATGACCTGGGTCCCTACCATCTGCCAAACCGCCTGCCCTTTAGTGGGGGACTTTCTGCAGTAATGAACACTGGAACAGACTGTTTTGGGAGATTGTGACGTCTTACGTCATTGCAGGTTGTTAAGGACAAAGTAGATGAACTTTGGCTGACAAAGCTGATTCTTGCATGCCTAAGAGCTGATGCGAGTGGCTTTTGCCGGGCCTGCCCTGGCAGCGCGGGCTTTGCCAGGTGTGTAACAGGGAACTTACTCGGAGCGGGCCGGGGGATGCCGCAGGGGCTGTACGACCCCTTACCGCTCCTCCCGCTCTCGGAGCCAGCCGGCTTTGCTAGGCTGGGTCCCTGGTTATCGACAGCGGCTGGGACGGCACAGTTGCCTCCGTTTGCAGACACCTCTGATAGCCGGTGGTGAGCCAGACCTGAGGAGGTTTCCAGGCATCGCTTCCTTCCTGCTGGGGAAACTTGCTCGAGCAGATGTCAGACAGCGACTGTACGGCAGCAAAACACCACCCAGTTGCCCCTGTCCTGGAAACAAGGCATTTTAATCACAATACTATTTTCCAGATAAACATTACATATAAACCTGAGGTGTAATAGGTGTCAGATCACATACAAAGTATATGATTTTGTATTTACAGCGGGTAATGGGGTCAGGATCAAATTAATTAAGTCGCTTATGTGTTTTGTTTTCGTTTTTTTTCCCTTGGTTACTTCCTTAGATAAAAGCAAACGTCACCTATCTGATTTCATCCTCTTTGTTTTTCTGCCATCGCCATCGCCCTCGCCCTCGGCGCTCCCCATCCGCCGCCCCAACCCGCAGGCAGCCCCGGGGGGCTCAGGGCTCCGCCGGTAACCCCGCGGCCGCCCCGGTGACATCACCGGAAAGGCGGGGGACGCCCCGCGCCGCCGGCCACAGGGGAGCCTGGCCGCCGGGG